GGCCGGGGGGATCCATGGTGTTTTTTGTGTGTTGTGAGAGAGAGAGAGAGAGAGATATGTCAAATGTTTTTTGTGGCAGTGCAATATTTGAAATTTGGTGATCGATGTGCAGGTAAATATCCCGTACGGCCATAGATAAATAAATAAAAAAAAATAAAAAAAATTGATAAGAAGCTGTAACTATCTATAGTTCTATACTACTAGACTAATGATTACCAAGATGACTCATCCAAATATTAAATAAGGCATCAAAATATATTATTCTCAGAATGATATTGACAGATGAATTCCAAAAATAACGCTTATTGCATGTTACATCAAATGCACCAAAACCATAGCTACATTGAGTTTTAAGAAGAACTCCCTCTAATTTCTTTTTAAGATGATATTGTGGGTCCCTTTCTGCTGCTTTGGCTTGTTGTACATCAGCTGCTGATTTTAGCTTAAAAGTTTTATCTTTTTTTTTTTTAACTACGACATTCCAATAGGAGTCAAATTTCGCGGCAAATTCCCTGGGGTCTATTGGGCTTGAATGACACTTCTTTGGCATGCAAATTTGTTACGGAGTAGTCCATAAAAGAAAAAAAACATAAAGATATGGCCATTGCTAATTATTGTTATTAATTATTTAACGAATTAATTAGATAAATTATTATAACATATTTAATTAATTAGATAAATAATTCTAACATTTTGAAAGCAACAAATTGATGTAAGAAAATTTCTTTACAATAAAACTATTGAAAATAAGACATAAGCCTAACAATGAGCAAAAGGTTACACGGCAAATGGAAAGAACGTACAATTTTATTTTATTTTTTTTTGTTGCATTTACATAGCGATAAATTTCGCTACAGCGATAAATATTCCGACGATAGCCAAGAAAGAACAGCAACAAATTGGGCACGCAATGAAAATGAGAGGAGGTACAAATGAAGCTCTCTCCAAGGCCGTAGTGGTTCTTGTATCTCATGAGTCCGAGTTATTGGGTGCACGCTCGCTTTGTCGACTTGTTTGTGCAGAATCTTGTGTATTTGAATATGTTTGAACAAAAAAATAGGCTTGTTTAGTAATCGAACGAACACGAACTCGTTCGTGAACGTTCGATCAAATAAAAGATTAAATACATTAAAAGTAACGGTTTTTGAGGAAAAATAGTTAAATTGCCACATAGGTAAAATTTAATAGATTTTATTAAATGCTATTAGCTAGTAATCTATACTTATATAAAAAGCTTTTAACCTATTTTTTTGCTACTAATTTTAATAAATAGGATAACTTTTTATATAAGTATAGATTACTAGCTAATAGCATTTAATAAAATCTATTAAATTTTACCTATGTGGCAATTTAACTATTTTTTCTCAAAAAACCGTTACTTTTAATGTATTTAATCTTTTATTTGATCGAACGTTCACGAACGAGTTCGTATTCGTTCGATTATTAAACGAGCCTATTTTTTTGTTCAAACATATTCAAATACACAAGATTCTGCACAAACAAGTCGACAAAGCGAGCGTGCACCCAATAACTCGGACTCATGAGATACAAGAACCACTACGGCCTTGGAGAGAGCTTCATTTGTACCTCCTCTCATTTTCGTGCCCAATTTGTTGTTGTTCTTTCTTGGCTATCGTCGGAATATTTATCGCTGTAGCGAAATTTATCGCTATGTAAATGCAACAAAAAAAATAAAATAAAATTGTACGTTCTTTCCATTTGCCGTGTAACCTTTTGCTCATTGTTAGGCTTATGTCGTATTTTCAATAGTTTTATTGTAAGGAAACTTTCTTACATCAATTTGTTGATTTCAAAATGTTAGAATTATTTATCTAATTAATTAAATATGTTATAATAAATTATCTAATTAATTCGTTAAATAATTAATAACAATAATTAACAATGGTCATATCTTTATGTTCCTTTTTCTTTTATGGACTACTCCGTAACAAATTTGCATGCCAAAGATATTCAAGCCCAATAGACCCCGGGGAATTTGCCGCGAAATTTGACTCCTATTGGAATGTCGTAGTTAAAAAAAAAAAAAAAAGATAAAACTTTTAAGCTAAAATCAGCAGCTAATGTACAAGCCAAAGCAGCAGAAAGAGACCCACAATATCATCTTAAAAGAAATTAGAGGGAGTTATTCTTAAAACTCAATGTAGCTTTAGTTTTGGTGCATTTGATGTAACATGCAATAAGCGTTATTTTTGGAATTCATCTGTCAATGTCATTCTGAGAATAATATATTTTGATGCCTTATTTAATATTTGGATGTCATCTTGGTAATCATTAGTCTAGCAGTATAGAACTATAGATACAGCTTCTTATCAACTCTCTTTTTTTTTTTATCTATGGCCGTATGGGATATTTACCTGCACATCGATCACCAAATTTCAAATATTGCACTGCCACAAAAAAAATTTGACATATCTCTCTCTCTCTCTCTCTCTCTCTCTCTCTCTCTCTCTCTCTCTCTCTCTCTCTCTCTCTCACAACACACAAAAAACACCATGGATCCCCCGGCGCCCCCTGCTGTCACGGAGGCCACCACACAAAGAACCAGACGCAAACGACGCTGTCTATGGCTTATTCCGGCGTTGGGGACGCTTATTGCTTTCCTCGTTATTCTTTTCATGAGTCGCAACAAGCACCGCAAGGGGCGCAACCTACCATCCGGTGTCTGGATTGTCATTGTTGTTAACGCGTACGCTCTTTTCTATGGTATTGCCCTCGTTGTAGCAGCTTTCACATCCCCTTTCACTCCCGTGAGCCTACCCCGTGTTTTCCGATGCTATCTAGATATTATGTATATCCTTCTGTCCTTGTTCCTGACTTTGGTCGTGAAGGATGGCTGGTATATTGGCCTGACCTTCATAGCACTCGTTCATGTCCTCTGCGTTTCCAATGTTATCGGGATGTTGCACATCGCGGCCTTCGATTGCCTGACTGCAATCCTTATTGCTGGCATTTTAGAGGTCATGGAAAACAAGCCGGCGGTGATCAGCACTGTCGTGGTGATAACCTCATTTCTGATGATATTAAAGCATACGATTGAGTACAGGCACCTTAAATCTCTCCACATACGGACCAGACGAGCACAGACAGCTGGGCCCACGGCGGCTGCACAGCCCTCTTCTCTCCTGTCTTCATTCTTGGAAGACCTCCGGGCTTGCCTTTGTTGGGACGGGGAGAGCGATGAAGGCCAGAACCCCCCCGGAGAAGGTGGTAACCCGCTGCCAGGAGGAGTCGATAATCAAGTCTTGGTTGACATTGGCACAGATGGTGGAAACCCGCTGCTCGGAGGAGTCAACAACCAGCTGGTGGTTGAGATTGGCGGCGAGATTGCTAACCCACTGCCTGGAGGAGGTGTCGACAATCAGGTCGTGGTGGATATTGACGAAGAGGGTGGCAACTCGCTGCCCAGAGGAGGGGTCGACAACCAGCACTTGTTGAGGATAAAAAAAAAAAAAAGATTAGTAAATTATCTGTCTCACTTTTAACTAATGCAACTTGTAGCAGCGACTTGCATTTACTACAAGATACTGATCGTCAACTAGTTTTAGCTTGAGTGGCAGTTACGATTAATCCTTTCTTCCAGTGTACATTGTAAAGGAGGTGATAAAAAATTGCTATCAATGAATACCTTTTTATACACTATTCTCTCTGCACGTTTATCTAACGGAAAAAATATGGAAAGATTTTAGTAAGATATTAATCAAAATTTTTTGATGATAAATATGGATTGATTTTGTGAAGATAATCGCGTGAGTTATCTGTATTAATTCCGCAATTTTTGCTATGGGAACAGATTTTAATTCCGGATGGGGGTAAGATATTTAAGCGCGTGACAATATAAATAAAACTCCACAATATTGCAATGTGAACAGAATATCTACATAATTATTAAAACTCCACAATAAAACTCCACAAAAGAACAATTAAGTGAGATAATTTAGGCAAGACAATCTCATCTCATTTTTGTTACAAAACAAAAAATCGAACACGGGATTTGTGGTGTCATTTGTTGAACAAATTCTGAAAAATCGAACACGGGATTTGTGGTGTCATTTGTTGAACAAATTCTGAATCATTTTAAATATGAGCGAAATCAGCGTCATTAGTTAATAAAATCCGATTTTTTTGGTAAGTCAATGGAACACAAAAAAAGTCGCAGATAATCAGCTAAAAATGTGTTCCAAAATTTCGAATTCATAGTAACAAATCCCACTAAATCCGAATAAAATGTGTAACAAAATTTCGGAATGAAGGATTGATTGATTATCTTAATTACGTAATTTAAGTTTTTCCTTAAATTTATGTTAATTAATTAACCGGGTGGGACCTGCATAGTTATTTCCTTAAGTAGCATGTATTACTTAAAGTGGTAAGTCAAACCTTTATTTTTTAAAGTCAACTTAGTATTTTTGTATTTTTCCAACAACCTTTTTATATTATTATAGATTATAGATTATAGATTATAGATGTTTGTTCGCTCTATATATATATATATATATATATATATAGATTCCAATTATAAATTGGGTATTCTTCGACACTACCTCAGATCCATCATATAGATTCATTACATAGTGATCTATGGTAACTAGAGCTTAACTATATCGCTAAAAGATGCAGATATATGTTACCTATCAGGAAGCCAAAAATTAGTGAATGAAGTCTCTTCTACTTTTTTATTTTAAAACGATGTCTCTTTTCTACTTTTGACCTGTAGGAGAAGTGAGAATTTAAATAGCTCTGCCAGCTACCAGCCTAAACTGAAAATGTGCTACCACAATTTATGCAACTAAGTAGTCTGTGGCTGGGGTTCGGGAAGGAAGAAAATATCTGATGATAATTTAACTACATGGATATATCTAGAAGAGTAAAAACACTCAATTAAAAGGACCCCCTAAACTTTTAGGCACCAATAAATCGCATGCTGCAAACACCCGGGAGAAGCCATTTCAAAACAATTGATCAACAGAAATGAAATTCACTCACATCACACTGTTTGCCTGTAAATCTGGTTGGGAAACACCATCAGGCCCGCTTTCAGATATCGTGCTTTGACACTTTTGTGCAACCTGCAGCAATTGATTCACCTGCAATACAAGAACTTTCTGTAAGTTCCACATTTATAAATGTAATCTACGGACTGTCATGCTAAGCAACCAAAAAGTGAAGATCAAATTTTCATTGTATTGACATCTGAAGGGTGGGCAATTTTTGCAGCCATCCCCAAAAATAGGTCATTTTGCTAAATAAATAATAATGAAGAAACTGCTTAACCAAAAAGATGCACAAAACCCTATTGTTTACGACTGCTTTCAGATTGCCAATCACGACAAATTGCATTCTAATAATTTTTTTTTTCAATAGAAGCAAAGAATTACGAAAGAGTAACATATGATGCAGTACTCTTACGAAACAATGTTACTCTTCTATGAAATCAATTTTTCTATAAAAAAACCCAGCAAGGAAGCAGCACAACAAGAGATCTATTACAGTACCTGCACCGCATGTCTTTGTCAAGATGGACATTATTGAAAAGTAAGTAAATTTTCACAGGTATTTTCAAATTCCAATGATAAAGACAAGATTCTGAGATCCTACGGGTTATGAAATTGGGTTCGGGTAAACAGATGAAGAGTAGCTCCATATGTTTAGTGCAGAAATATGTATTTGGCTGAAGTAGATTTTTGAGTTTTAAGTGAACATAGCTATCAAAGGTGAAATGAGCACCAGCCAAGAACTTCTGCAGCATGAGGCGCAGAGCAAGGCCCAAAATTTTAAATGATTTGGTTATGATTACCAATAAGCTCACTTGTAACAACTTTGACTGCTTAAACAGAGAACTTAACAAAAGGTTTGTGGATAGTAAGGACCTGCTTGCACCCTAAGTGTCTAGATTTTAAGGGACACTCCAACCACCTATCTCTTAAGTTTCTGAAGGTAAATGCTTCCAAACTATGCATATAGAATTTGAGAAGTTGATAAGGTTGAGATCCACATTCAATATTTAATTCAACAAATGTATCAAAGCAGTGGTCTGAAATGGTTTTCACTAGATGTGTCAATTTTATATATATATATATATATATATATATTAAGTATATATATATATATATATATATATATATATATGGGACTGTGGATCTAACGGGAAAATGAAACATGCAGGGTTAACATTGCAAGTAACAGCAAACAATTTTGTGTTATGTGGAATATGAGAAGCAGAAATGTAATTTCCACTGAGCTCAAACAGTACAAATTCAGACAAGGCAAGTCTACCTGAGGTGCAACCAATCGACGAGGCAGAAGTTCTTCATGGCGACGTGCACAAAATTCCCAAGATAGTATCTAAAAATTTGGAAGCAAGTGTTAAATGTCTATACAATGAAGAGATCCAAAGAACAATGCTTCAAATATTCACCTTTAAATCAGAGGTGAAAATAATGCGAAGCTGACCCTCGCGAACCACACGGAGTTGCTCATACACACTTTCTGAAACTGCCTTTGCATACTCAAGCATCATCATTCCCGATGGGAATCGACATTCCCGAGGCAAGTCCAGAAATAGAAGCTCGTCAATAATGCCGCTACCAAATTTAATTTCATCGAGTCTTGGGAGTACTTCAAAAGTTGCTTCTGTTGATAACGAAAAGGAACGCGAAAGAATTTAGAATACGCAAACAATGCAGCTAGTACATAGGTCCAGGGTCAAGGAAATGCAATCAACTGCATGATATTCTTTTTGCCTGACAATTGATTTCATATTCATGTTGTGAACCCTACCAGCTCAAAAAGCCAAGGAACTCATCCTTTATACAAATGCCACCATGACACAACCGAAGATTATGAGAACTTCAAATCAGGATCAGTGACCCACCCCTCCCCACTACCAAATAATATTATTAATAGTAGTAATAGAATGATAAGCTAATATAGCCCAAAGGAAAGAAATGAAATAGTAATGATAAGAAGTGGAATCAAAAGTATAAAGGTAGATATACAGATTATTAAGTCACTACAATTGCTAAATACCATAGAGACATTCCAGACATTATCAAATTTGTTAAAAACTCTGGATAATATATGGTGAGTCTCCACCCGAATCACTTATCATGTTCACATTTTGAATATTTAGACAAGCTTGTAAAGGGTGACCATGAAAGATTAATTGGATATATTTGGTCCGTGCATGTGTACATTTAGCCAGAAAAATGAAGACAGAAATCCTTCAACTAGAAAATGGAACACATCGTCGCATAAAATCTCTATTCGAGCAAAAGGAACTGTTTTTTGCGCTTACTTTCGGCAGGCAATCATCAACTCAGATCTCAACCATTCAGGAGTTTTTTCCAGCAAAAAAGAGTGCAGAGATTATCAATTTTTGGAACAAATGGAGATGGATTTGAATTTCCCATAACACTGAAAAGCTATGGAATCAGTAACCATGTTAGAAGGCAATGTCAAGTTCTAACAAAATTACCGCCAAGGCGGTTATATCATCACCAACGCAAATGGTTCAAGCATAACAAGAAAATACAGTGAATTTATGTGGAATAAGATTGGAATGGCAGTGACCTTACTTGGTTTGAACATTATCCATTTGAAGATAAAAATCTGACCACACGTCCTCAAAAAATGTGCACAACGTGAACTGTCACTCTATAAAAATGTACAGAGAGAAGAAGACTTTTGCGATAGTACAGCACAAGGATTGAAAAAGAGGAGAGAACTTGTTATAGTTTTACCACATTGAACAACATTATCTCAACCGTGCAACTCATCCTCATCAGTACATAATAAACAAGGCACAGTGACATATTTGAAAAAGCCATCAACAATATCTTAGTTCAAGTCAAGTGGGATAAGTAAACCTCACTTTGTAATTGCTAATAGCTTTCACTTTTAAGGTTAGCCTCAGCCTCTAGCAAATTAATTAATCTCCATGAAACTAGTAAAGAAGTATAGAGCACAGTGATAAAGGTGAATGACATGATAGTTATTCTTCCTAGCTTAGTTTGGCAAATTAAATAGAAACATGAAGGAATAAACTGCTACAAATGGTATGATGACCCATAATTTTAAATGCAACTCACCAAAACCTCTTCCAGATTTTGAACCACAAATGTCACACTGCCATGCATCCTGCATCAGAAGAAAAAATGAAAATAACCCTTAGCATTCACGCTTTAAAAAAATACATACTTTGGTCAACTCAAATCAGAAACTGCCAATAAGCACTACAATTAGTCAATTACCATTGCTGCCTGAGGGAATACTCCTAGCGAATGATGTCCGACATTGTCATAAAGTGATAGACACCATCTCTTCTTTGCACGTGGAGAATAATCCTCAGCCACGAATTTTCTCCAATAGGCAATATTGTTGTCCTGGCAAAAAGATACAACAAAACAATAAAAATAGTGATCAGAGACAGAGACAATTAAATTATAGGGAACACACACCGACTGAAAAGCCAGACCAGATAACACCAAAAAGTAAACATGTGTAATGAGATCAAGTAAGACACGGTTAATATTACTCACAGCCGGGCGTTGTCTCTGGTGATAGAGGTACTGCATTAGTCTACGTGAGCATACACCACCGTCATATGGGCGTTTTATTCCCGAACCTGGCTGCACGCCCTGCTGCTGCAGAAGCTGTTGTCTCAACTGCTGCTGCTGTTGCTGGTGCAGTAACTGAACCCGTTGCATAGGCGGCATAGACTGAAGAAGCTGTTCTCTTTGCTGCTGCTGCTGCTGCCTTAATCGCTGTTGCTGGATCAGAGCCTGCAGCTGAGGATTCGGATTCTGCAAAATCGAGTCTTGCCTCTGCAAAATCTGCTGCAGAACAACATCTTCCTGCTTGATGTCCAGGCGGGGCTTCTTTTGAATCTGGGACATGGTGTTCGGGTCCTGAATGAAAGAATTCGGGCCCCTGGGTCCAACAGGGATCTGGACCTGCCCCATCCGCGACCCGTGCAATGATGTGGTGCTCGAGTGCTGATTTTGCTGGGCTTGTGTCAGGTCTTGATTGGAGCTTTGCTGCGCGGCAGAGGACCCGTCGATGACGGACGAACCAGAGATGCTTATGTTGTTGGATGTGAACGAGAGTGGGGAAGTGGGTAGGCGCATGTAGGACTCTGAGTTGAAACTCGCAGTTCTTTGCATGTGGGGCCCGCTCGAGAGCCCCGAGTTGGCATCAGTGACCAGAGAGCTCGCCCCAATGCTGGGTGCTGAGGTTGCCATGCTGTTGAGGACCGCATTACCGACGTCCCCCGACAGCGGGCCCACATTGACACGTGCTCGTCCGGATATGGAGTGCATGGAGTTGCTGATGTTTGAACTCGGCTGTGAATTGCCAGCAACCTGAGACTGCCCGTCCCCTTGGAAAAATATTCCAGAGCTCGAAGATGATTGTGGCATCCCTCCCGCCACGCGAGAAGGCACCATCTGTGGCACCCGGTGCCTAATTTCTTAGATTCAAAGTTTTGTACAGTGCAGATTCCAAGAGTTCCAGGGTAGTTCAAGAGTGCAGGACTCAAGCTAGCTAAAGCGCAGAAGCCCTTTGTATCAAATTACAATCGCTTCGAATTTGATGACCCGAGGTGCAATCAACACGAACTGAAGGCTAATTTTTCACCAGTAACCTTTTTTTTCATATTCAGTTGTCTTTACACCGTCCTGTAAATCAAACAACCACGCCAATCACAACTAGCCAAAATTATACAAAAAGAAAACCCAATTTACGCATATTTCCATCAACAAAGAAAACAATGCGATCCAACTGAAATTTACTTTAATTAAGCTAGTTCACCCCCCAATCAAAGGTAATTTGCAGCACAAACAATCAGATTAGAGCTCTAATTAACACAATCAAAAAAAAAAAAAAAAACCCAACCACCATTGACAACAATCAATAATCAAAACCTTACAATTGCCACTAATATCCGAATTGTGGGACCGAATAAAAAAAGAAAAAGAAAAGCTCTGTACTTGGGGAAGAACACTTGAGAAAGCAGCAAAACAGAGAGAGAGAGAAGATGGGGATTTTGCATATGCTAATTATGTACCTTGAAACACTAAAGTAATCGGGAAACAATTAGGAAGTAATCGGAAGAGAGAGATATTTCTTTTGCTGGTCGGCCATTATATACCTAGCGGGAATAAGAAAGGGAGGGGCCACCGGCTATAGCCGGTGGAGGATTGCCGGTAACCGGATGCAGACGGTGGGGTTATGGACACTTGTCGGATGATCGTAGGCGTGGGGAGGCAGTTGCAATATCGTGTGCCTTGGCACACCTTACTAGGTGTGCCAAGCCTAATTTGCACGCACCAAGTTAAGTAATTAATATGAGCTGAAAAACTTTTTATTTAATGTGAAAACACGCACCCCGTACTGTCAAGTCACCTTTTAGCATTTTTTTTTCCCAATTTTGTCGACATCGTGCCTTGGTTTTCCAACCGCCTTCTCTCCCCCAACTGCAACTTCTCTCTTCTTCTCTTTATTCTCACCATTTTTTCTCTTAATTTTCTCTGTTTCACGATCAAAAGTTCCCGGAGAAGAATTTTAACTGAAAAACGCTTAATTTCCGACGATTCCTACTTCATAGGTAAGATTTCTTTGCTTTTCATGTCGATTAAATCTCAGTTTCATAGATTTTAAATGTTGAACTTCGAAATAAAAAATCCTACTTCATGCAGATGGAAAAAGAGACATTGCGGAATATGCTGGTATGTATTTTTTGCCTTGGGTTGAAGTTTCAATCCGATTAGAGATTCAATTCACTTTCCAAAACCCTATTTTCAATTTCAAATTTCTGTGCCTAGGGTTTAAAGTAGTCATTGCAGAAGATTGTATAATGTGTTGTTAATTTTTTGCCACACAGGATAAAATTAAAGCCCGTAGGAAAAATAGTTCGAAACGACGGCCAGAAAATGTTGGTGAACGGTATGTCCGCCTTGTTCATCTTCATTTGTATATTGGTTCATTTGAACATGTTCAATTTGCTTAATAACATATTCATTTGCTTATTAAACATGTTCATTTCGTTGTCATACATGTTCAAAGAACATCTTATATAGAATGTAGACATGTTCATTTTGTAATTGAACATGTTCATTATACAATAGAACAAGTTCATTAAATACTGAAACATGTTCATATCATACTGTAACATGTTCATGATATTATTTGTATAGAAAAAGTTCATTTTGTTTTTAAACATGTTCATTTTGTATATTAACATGTTCATGTTATATATAAACATGTTAATTTATTTATTAAACATGTTCACATCATACTAAAATATTGTCATATTAAATGGGTGTTTTAGTCTTTTTGTTTTGTAAAAGTTCAGAGCACATATCAAATATACATGTTCATTATACAATTAAACATGTTCATTACATACTAAAACATGTTCATATCATACTGTGACATGTTCATTTTTATATTTGAACATGTTCATTATACAATTTATGTTCATATTATAATGTAACATGTTCATGATATTATTTTTGTAGAAAAAGGAAATCTGATACTTTGAGTGAGCAAACTGAAAGAAAGAAGCAAAAATTAACCTCTGAAATAAAAGAAGAAGTGGGAGGGGGATTCTTAAATAGAGTTTCCCCTCAAGAGTTATGCAAATTTTTCAAAGACTTGGATGACCGACAGAAAGAAGATGTAAAGAGTATAGGTTTTGGCCATCTTCTCGACATGGAGATTACACAAATTGCGCAACCAAATCTTTGTTATTTTTTGGTCACAAAGTACAGGTAATTTGTGAAATTTGATTTTCATTAGAATGTACAAAATGTTATTTTCATTTTACCACATGTTCATTTTCTTATTAAACATCTACATCACATTATATCACATGTTATCACAGGTATGCCAGTAACACTCTCATTCTCCGCGGTAATAGAGAGATGAATATTACCGCCGAAGATATTGAGGCTGTTCTCGGCCTACCGAGAGGACCAAAAGAGGTCATTGAGGGAGATTGGTATGACAAAGATGAACATGCTTGGAGATTTGAGGGAGACCTTTGGTTTTAAGCGTACAGCTGGAGCTCCAACAGCCAAGAAGCTGGTGCAATATTTAACTGGAAAGGACGTTGAGAGAGGAGGACAGAGAGTCTATGGAGATGACTTTAAAGAATATTTGTCATAGTTGTGGTGTCCCTATTTCTCTGGAGAAATAGGGGCCAAGAATGCAAGTTAAGATTGCTCAAATCGTTGCGAGAACCATCTGAGATCATCAATTACAATTGGTGCCAGTATGTGTTACAAGCTCTTTCTGAATCGGTCAAGATGTGGCATGAAAGTGGTGGAGAGGCCCATTTTAATGGTCCACTTACCTTCTTGGTGGTATGCTATCTGGACAGGGTCCAGTTTATGAACAAGACTTATGTGCCCCGGAATTTCCCTGCTATTGCTTATTGGACAAATCAAGCAATGTCCGATAGAGTTAGGGAAGAGGAGAGTGGCCAGGGTTTTGGGATGGGGTTAATACTTGATCCCATCAAACCACCAGGAGATGGACCACATCAAGCAGCCACATTAGCTGATGAACATGTGGTCGAGGTAAATTCTGTTCATAAGTTTCTACAACATGTACATCTTATCATAAAACATGTTCACAAAATAATATAACATGTTGATCTTTATTCTGAAACATGTTCATCCCTTCATACAACAACTTAACTTCATCCCTTTAACCAACATGTTCATCTCATTATAAATAACGTTCATATCATAATGTATCATGTTCATATAATAATATAACAGCTTAATCTCATACAAGTTTTTTTCCTAAATAGAAACAACAAGATGATTTAGTTGAAAAGGTGCCCTGCCTAGCTCACGTTGAGCTAGCCTCCACCTCTGGGCTCGGTTCTCCCCGGCGGAACGTCTAGCTACCTAAGTGCCAAGGTGCCCTGCCTAGCTCACGTTGAGCTAGCCTCCACTTACCACCCATGTACTCCAAAGGTACCATGGGCTACGCCTACCAAAGCATCCGCCTACCAAAGCATCCGCATACCAAAGCATCCGCCTACCCAAGCATCCGCCTACCCAAGCATCCGCCTACCAAAGCATCCGCCTACCTAAGCATCCGCCTACCCAAGCATCCGCCTACCAACGACTAGAACCCGGGTCACAACCGGTCCATCATGAGCCGCTACTAACGACCACATCACCAGCCTCCCCCCACTGCAACTGGACCGGTGTCTTTTGCACCCATGGCCGAGTGACGTCACTCATCCTCTCAGACCACGCTCTCGCCGGTCCTCTCTCCGCCTCGCTTTTCTCCCTCACCAGCCTCGTCGTGCTTGATCTTTCGTCCAATATCCTGTACGGCGAAGTTCCCCAGCAAATATCCTCCCTCCGACGGCTGGAGGTTCTGGACCTGGGCGACAACCGCTTCTCCGGCGAGCTTCCTGACGGACTAGGCGAGTTGACTCGCCTTCGGGCACTGAGGCTCGGGCCTAATCTCTTCACAGGGAAAATCCCTCCCGGCGTTCGGAAACCTGGCGAGCCTCGAATCCTTCGACGTTTCTGGAAATGCCCTCGCCGGCGTTATCCCACCCCAAATCGGAAACCTGACCCGGCTGCAGATTTTGGCCATGGGGAATAATTTTCTCACCGGCTCCTTGCCCCCGAGCCTCTTCACAAAGCTGCAGTCTCTGTCATCGTTCGACGTCTCGAACAACTCTCTCCCCGGGAGGCTACCGCCGGAGATCGGGAACCTCGCCTCTCTCACAGAGCTTTTCATCGGAGAAAACCGTTTTTCCGGGGAGCTTCCGCCGGAGATGGGCCGGCTTTCAAAACTCGAGCTTCTATCCTCACCGTACTGTTTGCTCAACGGCCCGCTGCCCCAGAGCCTCTCGAACCTAAAGTCGCTGAAAACCCTCGACCTCTCTAACAACCCATTACAAAGCCCGATTCCGAAATTCATTGGTGATTGGCAAAACCTCACCGTGTTGAACCTCATTTATGCCCAGCTTAGTGGCAGCATACCGCCGGAGATAGGCAACTTGAAAAACCTGAATCTTCTACTGCTTTCTTTCAACTCACTGACCGGTTTTCTGCCCAATGAGCTGTCCGGATTATCCCCCACCACGTTCTCCGTCAAAAGGAATCAGCTTTCGGTCCCTCTTCCCGCCTGGCTCGGAAAATAGGACCAGGTCGACGCATTGTTGCTTTCAGAGAATAAATTTTCCGGAATAATTCCGCCGGAGATTGGTAATTGTTCTGTTCTGAGTCACATTAGCTTAGCAGGTAATTTGCTTACAGCTTAGAAGGTAAATTGCCTAAGGAGCTCTGTAATGCCCGATTCCTTAACAAAATCGAGCTCGGGAACAATTTTCTCGGGGGAAGCCTTGACGACACTTTCAGCAACTGTAGGAACTTGACTCAGCTGGTTTTGATGAATAACAAAATTCACGGCGTGATCCCTGAATATTTTGTCGGCCTCCCGTTGATAAGTCTTGAGCTGGATTCGAACAATTTCACGGGCACTATACCCGTCCGCCTTTGGAGCTCATCCACATTGATCGAGTTTTCTGCTTCAGATAATCAACTAGAAGGTTCTCTTCCTGCCGAGATTGGCAATGCCATGTCTTTACAGGTTGTTGTTCTTTCTAACAACTACATAACTGGAAAAATTCCGGACCAGATTGGGAAATTGCAGTCTCTCAGCGTGTTGAATCTGAACAGTAATTATCTAGAAGGCAATATTCCGGCTGCCATTGGGAATTGCACAGAACTCGGGTCACTCGATTTGGGCAGTAACTGGCTCAATGGCTCGATCCCGGAAGAAATTGTCGGTTTGCCCCAGCTGCTGTGCCTCATTCTTTCCCACAATAACCTATCGGGACACATACCTTGGAAAAACTCAAAGTACTTTCAGCAGGACTCGGTTATTCCTGCCTCGAGCTTTCTTCAGCACATTGGAGTTTACGATCTCTCGTTCAACCAGTTGACCGGCTCGATCCCTGAGGTGTTGGGTGATTGTTCAGTCTTGACGTATATTTTACTCAACGGAAATTCACTCTCTGGGGAGATACCAGGCTCGTTATCCCGGCTGTCTAATCTCACGACATTAGATTTGACCGGAAACTTATTTTCCGGCAACATTCCTTTTGAAATTGGTGATGCAGTTAAGTTACAGGGGTTGTACCTTGGGGATAACCGGTTTACTGGTCAAATACCAGAGACTCTCGGCAAGTTAAATGGGTTGGTGAAACTCTGGGGAGATACCAGGCTCGTTATCCCGGCTGTCTAATCTCACGACATTAGATTTGACCGGAAACTTATTTTCCGGCAACATTCCTTTTGAAATTGGTGATGCAGTTAAGTTACAGGGGTTGTACCTTGGGGATAACCGGTTTACTGGTCAAATACCAGAGACTCTCGGCAAGTTAAATGGGTTGGTGAAACTTAATCTGTCGTCTAATATGTTATCCGGGCCGGTCCCAATCGGTCTGAGCAAATTATACGGGCTTACCCATTTGGACCTGAGTTCAAACATGCTCACCGCCGAGCTTCCGGTTGAATTATTAAGAATGGTTAATCTTGTCGGGCTATATGCTCAGCATAATCGCCTATCTGGCCATATTGACCGCCTGTTCGGAAAATTGGACTCGTGGAGACTTCAGATCGCGAACCTCAGCTGCAATTCTTTCACTGGCACCCTACCGAGCTCATTGGGGAACATGTCATACTTAACTGTCTTGGATCTCCACAGAAACAGTTTTACCGGTCTAGTCCCGCCCTATGTTACCCGGACTCTTCTATTTAGGAAGAATACCCGTGTCATGTCGTGTCGACACTGGTGTGGGTATGAGTGTCGGGTGTGGCATTTTAGCCTAAAATGTTCAAGATTTCTAAACAATTGACGAGTCGGACGCTCATATCTCCACACCCGATACGCCACCCATATCCGAGTCCAGGTAGCATAGGTCCCGCCTGAGCTTGGCAATCTTGCCCAGATTCAGTACCTTGATATATCCGAAAACTCGTTCGATGGACAAATCCCGCCCGAGTTATGTGCCCCGACGAGCCTTTATTATCTCAACCTGGCGGAGAACGAGCTGAACGGCCCGGTCCCAAGAAACGGCCTTTGCCTGAAAATTAACAAGTCATCCCTCGCCAGTAACAAGAATCTTTGCGGCCGTGTTTTGGACGTAAAATGCTCGCCGAATAATTTTCGAGCCCAAAAAAAGCTACCTTTGACGAACATCTGGGGACTCGTGTCGGTCTCGATCGGGACTATTCTGATAATCCTCACCGTAATTATCGTTCTACGCATCTGGCTGGCCCGATGTGGACGTGACGGCAAAAGGCCCAATAACATATTATCCGAAAGCAGCAAACCCAACAGTTCGGATCAGAATCTCTACCTGTTGACCGGCATCAGCAGCCGGTCAAAGGAGCCCTTGAGCATAAACATAGCCATGTTCCAACAGCCCCTTTTAAAACTCACCCCTGCCGAAATACTCGAGTCCACGAACAACTTTTGCAAGGCCAACATTATCGGGGACGGAGGTTTCGGGACAGTGTACAAAGCCACATTACCCGACGGGCGAACTGTAGCCGTGAAGAAGCTGAGCCAGGCCAAGGCTCAGGGCCCGCGCGAGTTCCTAGCCGAGATGGAGACTCTCGGCAAGGTCAAGCATCGAAACCTCGTATCCCTCCTCGGCTACTGCTCGTACGCAAATGAAAAAGTGCTCGTTAACGAGTACATGCCCAACGACAGTCTCGACAGCTGGCTCCGGAACCGGGCTGGTGGGCCCGTGGCACTTGATTGGGCTCGCCGTTTTTGGATTATAGTGGGGTCCGCTCGGGGACTCGCATTCCTCCACCACGGGTTCATACCCCACATCATACACTGAGACATAAAGGCGAGCAATATCATTGTTTTGGTTCAGGTACTGAAACCTTAGCCAAACATCCCCACACGTTCAGGTATTTATAATGACCGGAGGGTCATCCTTCAGGTATTTTACCAAACCCAAAGTGGTCTGGTAAAAATGCATCTTTTGTTGCCACCTCTTAAAGTCAAGCCCGTTGAATTTTTTGGGCTTTTTAACTGTAGGAACATGGACATCAGGTACATGATTGATCGGATGTTGAGAGTTGGAACCTGCTCCGGTAGATGCCATCAGTTCAGTAGGATGACTGGATATTCTTCTTGCGATTGTTGGATATTTTGTGTGAAATTACACGGGAATTCTATGAACTGATATGTATTTTCAGTTCTTACAAATAATCTAAAAAATAGAAAATTACAATTGAACTGAAAAATAAAATACAACTGAAAAACAAAAAGATTTTAGCCGAGGCGAGTAAAAAACTCTTTCAGCAAGAAGAATACGCCTCGTGTGGCAGCTAACGGTTCAGGCGTAACTTCCCCAAAGATACAACGGCAAACGTCTCTAAATCTGTAGCACACCAGATTTACGAGCTCCGGTGAACGGGCACGGAA